AAAATTAGGGGTAGCATCCCGTTCTACCAATTGGACCTGTGGGCAAAGCACGGAGCCTTCTGGGGGATCCAGAGGGGTGTGGGGCTGAAGGCGGAGCTTGGCCACGCTGGGCAGGGTAAAAGTCGCGCTCCGACTCACAGTCAGTCGGGGCTGCTGCGATCTGGAATGGGATTCGTTGTGCCGCCGTCGTCGTCGTGATCTTCGCCCTCTTCAAGCTGCGAGTCTGGCAGCATGTTGGCTCTCCCGACCCGGTGTGTGGTTATCCCCTAAGGCTGTGAAAGCCGGAATAAAAGAGAGTACTAGTGTCTGTGAATTAGTACACTACATATGTTGAACTGTATGTATTTGTGTTAAATGTATTTGGCACCGTACGTAGCCAACCGAGCTAATCGGAGGAGGTGGGGAAGATGCAACGGAAAGTTAAGAAAATTAACAGCCTCGCACAGTGGTTCTCAGCCGGGGGAATACGCGAAACTCCTGGGGGTTACGTGGACATGTTCGAGGGGGGTTACGTGAAGCGATTTTATAAATGTGTGAAATTGTATCATACCCTAGAGTCATTTATGAATAATCGTGTGTGAATCTGCAAATATAAAATAACTTCGATAACAAAAGTAATCCATATGGTACCATAGAACGATATAAAATACCTTTCTGAACTTGTTAATTGTAAACAATGCAGTTTCCAAGAGTAACCAGCAAGCGCGAACAAAGTATGTGATGCATGCAGAGCATCCGTTGAATTGTTTTTTATTCGCTTGCAGTTTCTAGCTAGTCGGGCTACCTCAAAATGGGCAAGTGGTTAAAATATCGATGGTCAACACGTATCTTCGGAGTGGGCAGGTAGGAACTTGGTTGGACAGCGCTGCGTTCGGGGGGGGCAGTTGGATGAGGTGGGCATGTTGACCCCCCACCCTCCCCGAAATCGTCAACCAATCGCGGCGTAGCTCGGACTCGCACACACTCACACTCTGAGACTCACACACACATACATTCACATCTCAGACTCTCAGACTCACACACACTCAATCTCTCTCAGACTCACACACACACACTCACCCTCACACCCTCGCTCACACACACACTCACTCTCAGACTCGCACTCACTCACACTGTCAGACTCGCGAGCATACACACACACTCTCACACTCTCAGACTCGCGCGCACACACACACTCACGATCACACACACACACTCTCACACTTTCAGACTCACACACACACACTCTCATACTCTCAGACTCGCACACACTCACTCTCACACTCTCAGACTCTCAGACTCACAGATACACTCATTCTCGGACTCGCGCACACACACACTCACATCTCACACTCTCAGACTCGCACACACACACTCAGCGCGGCGTTCAGGGGGGGGGGGCAGTTGGATGATTGGGCGTGTTTTCCTTCCCCCCACCCTCCCCGACATCCTCAACCAATCGTGGCCCTGCTCTGCGTTCGGTGGGGGGGTGTATGGGTGGGCTGCATTCCGATGCACGGTAGACAAATAATCCCTGGTGGGCAGTGTGGAACCTGTTGTTCCTACCTGTATAAAAGATAACTTGACTTGAGGTAGCCAGCCAGCCAGGTAGCCAGGCAGCCAGCCAGGTAGCCAGCCCCCTTAACTATTGGCCCCTCCCCCTTGCTTAGGCCCTGCCCATTACCCCCCTCCCTTAGGCCCCTCCCCTGACCAACCCCCCCCCCCCCATACCCTTAGGCCCCTCCTCTGCCCCCCCCCCCCCCCCCTCAGGCCCCTTTCATGACTCTCCCTTCCTTAGGCCCCTCCCCTGACCCTCCTCCCTTAGGCACCTCCCCTCCGTACCCGGCAGTAAGTCTCCACCAATCAAAGAGCTATTTGCATTATATATTTATTTATGCACGACAGACAGTCAGACAGACAAAACATCCCTGGTGGGCAGTGTGGAACATTGTTCCTACCTGTATTATTCATACATTTATTTATACGATCCATGTTGGGTCTGGTAAGGGGGTACTCGGTTGAAACACATTTCAATAAGTTGGTACAATAGCCAAAAAAGGTTGAGAACCACTGATCTAGCAGACTTCGACATTAATCGCTCCTTCCATTCGATTAATTTCCATACATTTCAGGGCTCGCAATCCAAAACTAGAATCGATTCGTTTGCATAGTTTCTCATTTGTGCAATGTGCACTCATTGCCCTTGCATTCCAAATGATGGACCTTGTTGTAAACCACTGTCGTCTGCGCTCATTTAAACTCCATTAACTTTCTTTTTTATTTTACTAGCTAAGGCCCACTGAGCTTTCGAGTTCTTTTTTAGAAGCCACCTGGCCACAAATGATAGCTCAACGAAGTGATTTATGTTTTGGAAATATATAGCAACCAAATACTCTAAATGCACGTTTATAAATGTGAAGTGCAAAACCGGAGGACCCAGAGAAAAATCTACGCGACCACGGGGAGAATATGGAAACTACAGGCATCCGGGTCGGAATATAACCCACAACCTCCTGTATACTAGGCGAGGTAGTTAACATCTCGCCACCGTAGCACCCAATGGAGGAGGAGGTATAGCAAATCTCCACGAAGTCATAACTCTTGAAGCCCTCTCGTCGTGGCTAGCAGAGCTCGACATTCGCATTTAGTCCCTGATGACATTGACATCCGCAAAATAAATAAATAAATAACTCTATCACCAGTTATGCTGTCCTTCCCTGCACCTCCGATTAGCACGTTGGGCTACGTACGGTGCAAAAGAAGTTTAATATACGTACGTGACAAATTCTTGCACGCACTGTGCGATGGACGTGCTGCTTGTTTCTGTATCGATGAGGCGTGATAGCGAGGCGAGTCATAACGACACAAGCACTGCAGCACCTGCCCCACAGCTGACCTGGCAGTGCGACGGTCATCACAGTGGTTTCGTGCTCAAGTGAGTTCTGTAGTTAGGCGGTGGTGCTGATCTCCTGTTTACAGCCCTAACCCAGTGTGCCAATTCCACGTTCCCATGGCAGGACCGTGTTGTTATTTTGGGAAAACGGTGGCAAGATGTTAACTACCTCGCCTGGTATACAGAAGGTCGTGGGTTCCATCACGACCCTGACGCCTGTATATTTGGAGTTTGCATGTCTCTCTCCCCGTGGTCGCATGGATTGTTCTCCTTCCACATTTAGAATCAACGTGCGTTAAGAGTATTTGGCTCCTTTAAATATCCACGAGATGATAAGCTGCTTCATTGAGCTATAATTGGTGATAACCAGGTCGCTTCTGAAAAATAACGATATAGCTCAGTGGGCCTTACCTGGTAAAATATGTATATACTAAATCTTGACTTAAAGCTTTCGTGACTGCAGGAATCCATATTCTTTGGGTATTTCGGTAAAGTCACGTAGATAGGTTAAAAGAAAATATCAAAATTAAAAAACTACGACGTTTTGATCGCAACACAAGCGGTCGACCGCTTGTGTTGCGAGTTTGCATGTTCTCCCCGTGGTCGTTTGGATTTTTCTCCAGGTCCTCCGGGTTTTCCCTTTAAATTTAGATTAATGCGTTGAGACTATTTGGTTAATATACATATCATTTGGCCAGGTCGCTTCTGAAAAAGAGCAAGATAGCTCGGTGGGTCTTACCTGGGTAGAATAAAAAAAAAGTTTAAATCGTTTTTAGGTTTTGCTCTATCTAGTACTGTATTACGCTGCATCAGTAAGCGTCTCTTGACCACACGCTTCACTAATTCCTATCACGTCCCATCAGTAATGATCCTTCAGTCTTCATTGATAATAAATGACACTACACACCACGTGGCTCCGTCTAGATTCAATGAATTGTCGTGCGCAATTAAGGGTCGTGATTTGATTTTAAAGAAATCAATTCCCGTTTTTTTTTTACTTCGTAATGAATATAGCGGCCACTGGTGGCTGGTGGAGGTCACGTGATCCCATTACACGCAGCATATACGAATCGAAAAGCATTGATTCTTACACACGCGGTGCGATGCATGTGTTGTGAGATTAATAACCAATATTGAAAAATGCATCGTTTACACCACATTTTTCAATGCACTCTCCGCTTTCCTTGTCAAAGCCTACACGTGGGCAAGCGCAGTGTGAAATAGAGAATACATCTTTCTTGTGATCAGAATCACAATGCCTCTAAGCAAATCACCCGCAATGCATCTGTGAAAAAGAGCTTCATAGCTCATCGGATTCCTCCAGTATATAAATTAAAGATTCAGGTTCTATCTCATCAGATCTCGGAAGCTGAGCAGGTTTTTTTAGCTTTGATAAATTCTGGGATGGGTGACCACCACACAGACAGGTTGCTATAGGCGGCTCTAGAGCTGTGCTGTGGTAGTTACCAGAGGGAAGTACAGCGAAATACATTGTTGTACCGTACTTCCACGCTGCCATGTCTACCCTCTCTTCCCTTCGCGAAGTAGCGCCGTGAAACGCTGCCAAGTAACCGACCGTGGGTAGGTCCTCGTCCAGCAGTGGATTGACCAAAGTGCCATTCACGTACAGAGGCCGCGTGCTGACCTGGAGAGAGGAGATGCTAAGTGTTGTGTGTGCGTGTGGCTACGTCTTATGTATAAGAGTGTGTGGCTACGTCTGATGTTTAAACGTGAGGACTGTGTGGGCCTCTGACTTTAACGACAGCGGCAAAGGGCCCATGCACAGTATGAATACATGGCAGTCTACAGGACCGAAAAAAATATGAAATTAATCGTATAAAAACCGACCATTTAAACTTTTTATTTTATTTTACCAGATAAGGCCCACTGAGCTAAATAGCTCTTTTTCTGAAGCGACCTGGCCAACACAAATGATAGCCCCACAAAATGGTTTCTTATCATGTGGAAATTTCGAGCAGGCAAATAATGGAGACGCACGTTGACTCGAGGTGGAGGAAAAAAACCAGAGGACCCAGAGAAAAATTCACGCGACCACAGGAAGAGAGAGAACACGCAAACTGAAAATATACAGGCGATCAGCGTTGGGATCGAACCCACAACCTCCTGTATACCGGGCGAGGTAATTAACATCTCGCCACCGTGGCAACCCCTGCCCTCTCGTTGGCAAGAGCAGGTAAGAACAAACATCAGCCGCGAGTGGTGCGAAAGGAAGGCACAACGCATCCGGCGCACAGCTTCGTACAACGTAAAATCCATGCCACTGTTGACAACGGGCAGGTGGCTATCAGACGTGATGCTAATATCACCATTAGAATTTCGCCGAGTGCACTCAAGTAGGTGTGTGTGCGTGCGTGCTGACGATAAAAATAACAGGACCCTGCAGGGTGGGCTGGTAGGAACGAATAACCAAAGAATATAAACATAATGTATTATTACACTTGTTTAGCCAGGAAAGCCCCACGGAGTCTAAAGGTTTTTCTAGGGTCCTGCCAAGTGTTTGCAGTAGGGGGCGATGTTGCTACACCTAATCGGACGATAGGAAGGGAGAGTTTGAGGCCTAGTTCTAGGCTTTAAGCCTAGCTGTAGGCTTTAGGTCGCCGTGAGTTTCTTTTTAATTAAAATGTTTTTATTATTTATTTAAAAGCTTTAAATTTAAATGTTTCTATTTAAAAGCATCAGGGAATGTAACATTGTTAAACATTAACTCCCTTGCACACACGCGGGGGTACGATACAAAGGGAGAGTTTGAGGCGTTGTTCGAGGCTTTAGGCCTAGCTGTAGGCCGCTGTGAGTTAAATTTTAATTTAAAAGTTTTAATTAAAAGCTATCTCAGGGAATGATAAGGGAATGTTACACTTGTTCAGCCAGGGAAGCGTCACTGAGTCTAAAGGTTTTTGTAGGGTCATGCCAAGTGTTTGCAGTAGGGGGCGATGTTGCTACACGGACGGACGGACGGACTATATAATCTATTTTAGGCTGGTTCACTTCGTTCCTACCAGTAAAAGTCCATTTGACTGAGCTAAACACCTATTTGGTTAAACGGGTAAGGCCTGCTGAGCTATAGAGCTCTTTTCCAAGAGCGACCCGGCTATCACAAATATGGAATGAAAATTAATTTCTTTAGAACTGCTTTTTGTGCTTAGTTTGTTGTCTTTCTCACGCACCTCCAATTAGCACGGTTGGCTACGTACGGTGCGAAGAAGTTCACCATACATTTATACGTGTTAGTACCGCAATAGTAAAGTACACCTCTCTGCCGAGGGCACTGTTACTCTCAGCTCAAGCTGACGCTATCGCTTTTAGCACGGTATTTCGTGTTGCTCAAGAAAGATAATTAAGTAATTTATCTTTGTCAATATCCGCTGCTTTTGATCTCCCTGTGTGTATCTTCGGGGAGTGGTGGCATAGTAACTCGCGCACTGTGTTACGGACCCGGCGACCGAGTTTGATTCCTGCACCTCCGATTAGCACGGTCGGCTTGGTACGGTGCGAAAGAAGTTCAACATAGATAGACGCCTAAACGCACCAAGTCAACATTTCCTTCGTGTTCTCCCCACCTGCACGCACCTGGCATGTAGGTGGATGGGCCCCATCCCGAATCATGGAAATCCACTTTGTTTTCGGAAAGCTCTGCATGGTTCAGGAAGAACCCAATAGACCAGCCTAAGTGGCTCCTCCGCCTGATCAAGGTCTCGGCTAACGCACCTGCGTCGTCTCTCAGGTGCGAATAACTCGACTACTACTACTGTTTATTTTAGCAGGTAAGGCCAACTGAGCTGCACAGCTCTTTTCTTCAGAAGCGAGGTGGCCACAAATGATACCTCAACGAAGTGGCTTGTCATCAAGTGTGACATTTATAGTAGCCAAATACTCTAAACGCATATTAATTCTAAATGTACAAGGAAATAGCGGACGACCCAGAGAGACATCCACGCGTCCACTCAACGGTGTACATACGTACACACAATATCAACTTGCCAACTGGATTTAATCACAGGTCGCATACACTCGGATTCAGACCAGGAATGGCAGTGAAGCCAGTTTCACGCATTCGACGCATGAATTGACCCTCTGAGCCACCTCCCAAACCCCCACGCACATCTCTGCCGTTCTTCATGCACATTCGACAACAGCAAAGCGGGTTTTTGTTGCCTATAATGTATTGTAAGCACGATTGTTCATGGTACTTAGCAATTGCATTTCCATTTTGAGGAAAAGTAATATATTAGCTTTTAAGGTTGCCAGGCGCAGTGCCTACACGGAGAACACAGTGTTTGCCGAGCAATGTCTTAATAGTACGTACAAATGTTGAACAATTACTCAATAGCACGGCAAATGGGTGGATGGGCGACTCAGAGGTCAGTGCTAGCAGCTGGCACCGCTGAGAGCCTGCAGGTTTAAATGGGAAGACGGCTGTCTGCAATTGGACACCCGTGAAAAAGTAGCTTTACAGATCATCAGATTCCTCCCGTATAAATAAATAATTTGATTTTGCATTTAAATGGACTCAGCCCAAATCACGAATGTATAAAAAATAAAACCCCACAACATTAAATTTGGCTCTACACTTTATTTGGTTACATTGCAGCTCTGAGAATTGCAAAATAATCTGGTTTTGCTGTCACACAATGAATAATAATGTTGGTGGCAGAGCAGGTAGGGAAGTGTTGGTCCCTACGATGTTGACCAAAGGTCACTTGAAATAATTTAACAGGTAGCTCTGTATTATCCACTTCCACGAGCCAGTTCTTAAACATGCAGGGTCGCAATGCTCTGCAGCAGATCTGAATGGACCCTTGGATTATTGGCATAATACGGACAGCAAAATCAGGATTAAATCTGGTTGGAAATACATGCAGTAATGTAATATATATACACGGCACGACGAACTTAACAAAAAATAAATCACAGTTTATAATCTGCAACAAAGACAGGCCTTTAAGATGGGTGAGGCGTGATTTCCCTTCTGTTGTGCACACCGCATTGAAGCACGCAATGCAGAGCGCGGTTGTTATTCTTGCCGCGGCGTCACGCCCACGAACAGGAGACGCGACCAGCGCACGAGCAATCGCAGCAACGCAACAGTCGCACGCTCGGCACGCGTTCGTGTGGGCGCCACAATGGCGAGATGTTAACTACCTCGCCTGGTATACAGGAGGTTGTGGGTTCGATCCCAATGCTGATGCCTGTAGCTTTGAAATTTGCGTGTTCTCTCCCTCCCCGTGGTCTCGTCGATGTTCAGAAGCGACCTGGCCACAAATGTTAGCTCAACAAAGTGGCTTATCACGTGGAAATTTACAGCAGCCAAATATTTTAAACGCGTGACGTCAATTCAAAATGCGGAGGGAAAAACCGGAGGACCCGGAGAAAAATCCACGCGACCATAGGGAGAGAGACATGCAAACCACAAATATACATCCATAATACAGGTTGTTTTTGTTAAACGGCGTAAGGGGCCGTCCATAAATGACGTCGCGCACCTGGGGGGGGGGGGGGTCAGACATTTGTGACGATGTGTGACGAGGAGGGGGGGTGAGAAATTAGGCGTCACATCAAAATGCGCAACTTTCAATAAATATAGACAACACATTCTACTTAATTAAACAGACTTTTTAATAAATGTTTTCTCCTACAACATCAGAGTGCAACGTTTTGAAGCATGTTTAATTTTTTTGGGGGGGGGGGGCAGAGCTTAGTGACGTCATTTGAAGGGGGTCTGACTTTTCGTGACGATGGGGGGGGGGGGTCAAAAATCGTCCAAAATCGCGTGACGTCATTTACAGCAGGCGTCAGGGTCGGAATCGAACCCACGAACTTCTGCATACCAGGCGAGGTACTTAACATCTCGCCACCGTAACGGGGCCCATAGGTCGCGAGAACAGAGTTGCCAGCCGCCAATTGTAGCGTAAGCACCGGAGCAATGTGGATTTGAACCCGGGTCGATTTTGGTGGGTAACCTTTAAAAAATATATATATATATAAGCAGCTGTTAACTGCGTGCTGCTGCCAGAAAATGTCAGTAAAGCAATTACTAATGACATATGGCAAATAGCCCTGCGTGCGAAGACCCCCACGCGCAGTGTGATGACCGCACATGAGCCTCGCCAAAGAAATTGCCTCTTTTATGCCGATGTAAAATTTGCATGTAATCTGATCGCTCAGCCCGTGGCATAATCCATGTCACAAATGCACACAGAACTGTTCGTCACACACGATCTCTTCTTGCCCCCCTCCTTCACTGGAAGCATTTCCCCTCCACATTAAAGTCACCTTTGCCCACCAGTTTCTGCTCCTCATTCAAAACTCACCTATTGTTCTCTAGATCACCCCACGACCCCCCTTAATCTCGCCCTCATAACCGCCACCGTTTTTCTGTTTCCTCTTTATATTCTCGTTACATGGTTATCACTCATTAACCCCATTCATTCATCATCATTTTCTCTTTCACCAAATTCACGCATCACAGATTTGCCGATTGCTTCCTCTCGTCTATTTAATTCACTTCATCTCCCCCATTACATTCACACGTTGTAGCGTTGTGAATTATTTGTAAAGCGTCTTGGTTAAGGCGCTATATAAATTCCGTTAAGATAATCAGGAGATGATCACACCTCATGAACAGCACGGGGATATACTGGGTGAGTGTTACATTCATTAACATTATAAATGTGTTTGTAACATTGATTCACTATGAGGTCATTTGTTTAATACGACTATTGCTCTTGTAGTATGTAAATGCTCGACGCATCAATATCGCATGCAATGCGCAGTGGCCATCGCAAGGCGAGAAATGAATGGAACACGGCAGCGCCACGACGCGAAGACGACACTCACAACCTCGGGGCGTCACCACGTGGAGGGCATTGCTGATTTAAAGTCCTTGGGCCAGACCAGATATCGGTACCACCCAAGGTGGCAAAGCTTCAATGGTGCCATTTATTTGTTACACCAACAGAAGTAAAATAAGACCTGATAACCTTTCAAAATGAGCAGCTGTTTAATTTTTCTCGCAGGAAACCTGTTTTTGCACCGATCGCAATCACGCCTATTTGCCCCGACGTTACAAATAAAACATTCCAACACCTCTGCTGTTCATTTAAAACGATACATAATTTACAAAATGTATGCTTGTCCCCAAGGCATGTATTTCACACATATTCTTGCATTTATTCACGCTTGTTCTTCAATTTCAATGACCTAGTGAAGCCTGGAATAGATTGGCGTTTCTAGCGGCTTGTTTGCTCATGATCACTTAGTGGCAGGTGAGGCAAGTGCTGGTGGTTCTGTATCATTTATGTTCAGTAAAGATATCTAAAGTGCTAACTTGGCCCTCAATGTATTGTTAATGTACCTGTTAAGACTATTAGTTCAGGCCAGGATCTACAGGCAAAAATAATGATTTTTGTTCAGTTTGTCATTTTTTTTATATTTTGCTTCTATAAATTGTAAACTTTCATAACATACACACAATTATTACCAATAACAAAGTAATTGGTAATAATTGATTATTAAAATCATAACTTTTTTGACGATTTCATACAAACTTCGCCAAATAAACAAAGCCTTAAATATGCGTTTTTTTGCATCTTTCATCGCAATTTGTCTCCGCATCTTAAGAAATAATCTAGTTGAATTGCATATCATTGACAAGCTTATTCTCTGGAGCAGATGCTTAGCTTAGTCACATATGGCTATTTACTTTGCTGTCATGGTAATAAGAGGGGGAACACACAAGTAGAACTCTCAAATCTCATTGCTACTGGCATCACAATGCCAGAACTGGCATTGTGATTTTCTCAAAATGACATTTTGCATGTCGAGTTAGACAACTCATGTTATATAATACTGCTTCCTACTTGTAATAGCTAGAAATGCGCAGAGGGATTTTTTTGATATCTTTTGTCATTTTCATTTTACGTGGTATTATATCTAAAAAATAGGCGAAAATCTTGTTTTTTTACGTGTCCAGTGTATTTTTACGTAATTAACTGAAAGAACAATATTTTGACAAATGCCTCTGTAGATTACCAACCAATTAGTTATTGATCACATTAAAATAAACCAAAAAGTTCTGATTTGATCTACTAAGTCAATAGTGTGTTTTACATAATATCCAAATGTGTGCACATTTAATGAGATAACATATAATATGCATACATTAATAGGGGGAAAGTCACAATACAAAAACATCTTATATTTTTGTGTATATTCATCTGGTAATTTTTGATTCTGATAAAAAGACATAATTGTTTTGCTTATTCACCTGTAGTTCCTCCCCTTAATTTAGGTAAGATTAGTTCAGATTAATTTTACCCTTTAACAATGTTAGTTTTGCTTTTGGGTTGTAACTCTCTGCTGCCGTCAATGTGTAACCAAAGTACTGACAGATTCATTCAGGTCTTGCATCAAAGTAATGATGATTGTACTGCATGGTGCAGGTGAAACCTTACTGAATATGGCCACCGGTGAACAAGCAAGTAACAACCCACTACCGAAGCGACCAGGGTGAGCGTAAACGAGACGTACAACGGTAGAAGATGAAAAAAAGGGGATTTGATGAGTCGCGTAAGTAAAATATCCTGATGTGAGGACACGCATCGCATCCATCTCGTGTTCTTCGGGTTGCTGCAGACGAACACGGACGGACACGTTATACTGTAAAAAATAAAATCATTGTATCAGGTCAGGTCCACTGAGCTTGAATAGCTCCTTTTCAGAAGCGACCAGGCCACAAATGCTAGCTCAACAAAGTGGCGTATCTTGTGGAAATGTATAGCAGACAAATACTCGAAAGACATGTTGATTCTCATATTTGGACATCTGTGAAAAAGAGCTTCATAGCTCATCGGATTCCTCCAGTCTCAATCAACATTCTGATCCTGAGATCCACGACAGTGCAAGCAGGCAAAGCCAGTCTCGTGGGACCGTCCTGTCTGCCATGGTAAGTGGCAGACTTGTAGCTGCGCGTTTGTAGATAAACATGAGAGGCAGCCCCGTCGATAGCAATAGCAGCAACAATAATCGTAATAATTACAGCTTGACTGATCTTCCAAGATCATGAAAGTTGGGGCATACAAAAAAGTTCTTACAGTGTATAAAATAAACATGCAATAAAATGGTTCAATATGTAAATGTATATTACATTTAAAAAGGGTATTTTTTGGGTTAAATAACGTAAATATAAATGCGTCGTTAAACCCGCCACCACCTGACACAGCCAATTAATAAGGTTTGTCACGTAAAAAAACGTGGCCATTTCGTTACTGGTTCAGAACACCGGTTGTGGGTTGGAGAGTAACCCCACAACATTTACAATTCGAATACTGTGGCGTTTCACTGGTGATTATAACAACAAGCAGCCTCCTCAGGCGATCAGCCAGAATCTGACAAAACGTCTTCCTGGTCAGTTGTTCTTATTTAACTGTTGATCTTATTTCAGAACCCGCGGATATTTTTGGAGGGGGAGGGGGTGAGAGGGGGGAGATTCACGGCCACCGGCTCGGGGTGAGGATTTGGATTTTGCAGCGGGGACCACGAGGGGAGCTCAGCGCTCTCTCTACTGATATCTGTTGCCTGCTGCTGCTTCTTTGGTCGCTTTATGTATTGAGATTATTTAGATAATTGTCCTGGGATGCAGGAGGCTGTGGGTTTGATCCCGACCCTGACGCAATTTTCGTTTTTCTCTCTCACTGTGGTCCCGTGGATCTTTCTACCAAGTCCTCCAGTTTTGTCCCTCCACATTTAAAACAAATACGAGTGTTTGGCTGCTATAAATGTCCATGTGGTGATAAGCCACTTTGTTCAATTATTATTTGTGGCAAGGTTCGCTTCTGAAAAGGAAGTTAAGACCTCAGTTGGGATTTACCTGGCTAGATTTTTTTTAAAAATTTAATTTTTTTTTTCAGGTGATGTATTTACCGTTCCTTTTGCACTCCTCTCGTGGGTTTGTATCATGTTTGTTGCTGTAACGTTCTGACCCAGTGCGCCTACTGGACATCTGTGAAAGAAAGAGTTTCATAGCTCATCGGATTTTTCCAGTACTAAACGATGATTCTGATATTCCCTCGACCCCCCTCCCCTCGCCCCCACCTCCAGGCAGCAGCAGCGGCAGCCACTTCGCATGCAGAGGGCATCCTTCACTCGCTGCCTATTGATCGGCACTGTTCGTGAAAAGTGAAATAATTACCATGCACATGCAATGCATTGCGCGCATGCCGTTGGCAATAATAATAAGGTATATATATCGATGGCCCATGATTCCTCTCTTTAAATGTATCTCACCCAAGGTCACCGTGTAGACAGTGTTGTCGCAGCCTTCTTGTAAAGGTCACGGTTGACACACGGTATATATATAAAAAATATTTTAAAAATCTACAGCCCCAAACGTAAAGTGTGAATGCTGCCTTTTCATTAAATGTTGGTCCTTGTCACTATTTCAATGACCTCCACAAGATATAGTAATTGGGTTAGAGCCTTCATAGAAAAATACCTTTACCGAACGAAACAGATATCTGAACCGGTCCTGTGCGCCCGCCCCCCTCCGCCTACCCTCACAGAACAGGCTGCTGAAGTATAAGACAAAGATCCCCCATGTAGCCGAACAGACTGTTGGGGAAAGTTCCTTTAGCAAGCGCCTATTAACGCTGGCACGGCACACTACGGGGTTGGGTGGCCAGCACCCCGTTTTACACACGGCACCCCGTTCTCATTTGAGCTGGAGTTGACTTAGGGGAGGCCCAGGACTGGTTCAAGATAATCGTCACTGACGTTGACGGTGAGCGGTATTCTGATTCTGGTAGCCGGGGTTTCGTCAGGCAGCACGCTAACCACTGCCCGCCCCCCTCCCACCGAAGTGTATACCAGCCCCACGAGCGTCACGAAACGGGGAGGACCATAATCCAGCAGTAGATTAAACATGGATATAACCTGGATGAAGCTCATGCAATGCCACAATCTGACGCACTGCCGCAAATGAGCCGATCTCATCGCTCCATCTCAGTGATGGTTGCCCTCTGCGTCGTGAATTCTACTTTTGCTGGCATTCTATCAACATCGTAGAGGTTTTATTTTTGGATTAGATCGCGTGAAATATAAATAAGTCGTTAAACCCGCCACCACCCAACACAGTCAGTTAGTAAGGTGAGTCACGTAAACAAAACGTGCCAATTAGTTACTAGTTCAGCACCACACCGGTGTGCTGAAGAGTAAACGCACAATGTTTACAATTCAAGTACCGTGACGTTTTTTCTGGTGATGACAGCAACCAACTTCGTCATACGATTATCCAAAATTCTGGCTCACCTTTATTATGGATAATATCATCAGTCCCTCCCATTTGTCACCATCCCTTTGAGTGGTGTGTCTTGCCCAAGCCCGCTTACGATACTCAAGTCAACATGACCTCTCTCTCCCGTATGTGTTTTTGTTTTTGCTGCATGACTCCGGCGTGTTCCTCTTTCTGCCTCTCGGCGCAATTGCCTCTCTCAGTGTCCGTGACTTTGATCCACGTCGTAGCAGGCGATAGGCAGCAGCGCCGATTGAAGTCTCTCAACACACTCGCCCACAACACCGCCTTCAATACAAACAAATACAAAGTAAGGATAAAAATTGGGCGACATTTTGGGCAATTGCCTTTCTTCACCTTCAGCCAGATCGCTGCTGACCCCCGATATTCATTCCCCCGCACCTCCAATTAGCGCCACGGTGGCGAGATGTTAACTACCTCGCCTGGTATACAGGTGGTCGTGGGTTCGATCCCGTTCCTGAATCTTGTATATTTGGAGTTTGCATGTCTCTCTCCCCGTGTTCGCGTGGATTTTTCTCCGGGTCCTCCGGCTTTTCCGTCCACATTTAATATCAACATGCGTTTAGATAATTTGGGTTGCTATAGATTTCCACATAAGCCACTTCGTTGAGCTATCGTTTGTGGATAGGTCGCTTCTGAAAACGAGCTGTATAGGTCAGTGTGGCCTAACCTGCTAAAATAAAAAAATGTTAGTTATTTATGTACGGTCCAACATACACATAGAACAAAACAAGCTTGTGTTTTTTTTAAAGCGCTCCAGTCCAGCCTGCCCCCTCTCATCTCTTCAATTCACAATCCTTGATCCCATTGTATTCCTCCAACGATCATTCTCTTTTATTTCACACACTTATTGTATGAATGTATGGTGAACTTCTTTCGCACCGTAGGTATCGAACCGTGCTAATGACCACTTGTTGTTTTTTTCCGTACAGTTTTCATCTGGAGCCCACACCTTTTGCAGCCTTCTATCAGTCCATCGCTCATTCCCTTGTACTTATTACTTTTCAATTTTAACCGCTGAGATGTTGGGAGCACCTGAATACATTTTTTTAACAAGCATGGCATCACTTCATTAGCACGCTCCGTAAGTCGGTTACGTATGATTGGGTACCATTGAGTGCCGCGGTGAGGAGTGACGGTGCCAAAAGTGAGGAGATCAGCATTGCACTCTGCTTCACGTCGAGCTCTGTACGGACGCTGAACTTTTACCTCAGCGTACGTCGCCAACCGCGCTACTCGGAGTAGCGGGGGAAGGACAACGAAGTAAACACAAAAAGCGGTTTTAAACACGTGAGTTTGTCAATCGAGATGATGTTAAAGTGCATAGCTCTATTGGCTTCATAATATCGGAAGGAAAAGCCCATCCGAGCGCGTGCGCACGATGCGGTCCCGTCGTTGTTACAATGGCCAGCTAAAAGCCGCTGCTGCTGTGAGCGAGGAAGATCGGAGTTCGCGTCACGATGGTTTTATGCTCCTTGACGAGATCAACGAACTGAGGAAAAACTCGGGAATTTCTACAGACAGCGGCCACTCGGTCAGTGAGGCCCCGTTGAGCTGAAAGCCCCCCCCCCCCCACCCCCGCTCGCTGTCTGCGTGAATAGGGACCCTGGCCAAGACCGGTAGGCAAGTTACAACATCTAACCCCCCACAAAAAACCTTTACTATGGAATATATTGGTCGCGAAAGCCTTTGTGTTCGAATACACGGGCGGTGGCTGAATAGAACGGCTGATACGTCGATCGCAATCGCGCCACAGTGGGAAGGAAGGAGTTCAACAGGAGCTGCGTGGCACAAACAGCAGAGAAATGTGATAATCGTGACCAATAGATAATAATAAAACATACACAACCAGAACTGTGCACAATGAAAATCAAGCCAGCAATCTGAAATAACCACATGGTGCGTGGCACTAGTGTGATGAACTCACGTATGGCACAATAAAAAAGGCATTTCTATAACAGAAAAATAAACTACACGATACACTTTTTTTTACCAGGTAAGAACCACTGAGAATAAATAGGTATTTGTCAGACAGTGACCTGGCCATAAATGATAGCCCAACGATGAAGCTTATCACGTGAAAATATATAGCAGCCAAATACTCTGAACGCACGTTTGTCAATGTGGAGGGAAAAACCGGAGGACCCGGAGAAAAATCCACGAGACCACGAGGAGAGAGAAAGAACATGCAACCTCCAAATATACAGCTGGGCATCGGGGTCGAGATCGAACCCACGACCTCCTTTATAACCAGGCGAGGTAGTTCACATCACCACCGACGACTACAATTGCACTTCCTTTTTTTTTTTAAAGAGCTGCATTTATAAATTGTTGGCGTTCTCTGAAACTGAAAGAGGTTGATCGTCCGCGCCACCGGCCACCGTTCAGAGTGCGGCGTTGCGAACGGCGGCTCGGAGATATTGGAAACGCGACGCCAATCCTACGGAGCCCGGCTGCCTGCTACGTTTACATCTCTCGCCGTCACTTCTAATTGTGCCGGTGATGCGCAAGTGTGACATCGCGCGAGCAAACGGTGGACAAGTCTGTCCGGTGCCGTTAATTGCATTCTGCCACATTTGGCCATTGGTAGCGGCCTTCAATCATTGATAAGTCATGCTGCGTGTATGAAAAAAAGTGTTTTGTCGGGAGAGAAATGATATTTGCGTGAGTGTCAAGGGGCCAAAGCTGAATGTCGACCCGTTTGATTCGCCGCTTTGCGGAAAACGATTTTTAGGAGTCCACAGCAACCTACAAGGTTTGCGAGATATTCACTACTGCTCCTGGTATGCAGGAGATCGTGGGTTAGATACCGACCCTCACGATGCCTGTTGTATATTTGGAGTTTGCATATTCTCTCTCTCCCCGTGGGCGCGTGGATTTTTCTCAGAGTCCTCCGGTATTTCCCCTCCACATGTAGTATTTGGCTGCTATACATTTCCACGTGATAATAAGCCACTTCGTTAAGATATCGTTTGTGAAAGCCAGGTCGCTTCTAAAAAGTGTATTGTTTTGTGGGGGGGAGTCGATTATAAATTAATCGATATGTTGTTCATGTTATTAGTATGAATGATTTGGACACATGAGACAGACACCCTTCTATGAAAGAAACTAAATAGACCAGGGTGTTAATAATGAGTTCCCTCAACGTGGAAGCCAGGTGTGGTGTTGCACACCTACAATCCAGCGCTTTGGATTCAAGGTGTGGTGGATCACGAATATTTGGCTAAAATCTAAACTCGCTTGGCTGTGACTTGGTCAGGATATGGCAATTGAGAAAGTAAACTGTAAACTTTAAAATATATATATTACCACGTAAGAATCTGAGCTGTATAGCTCTTTTTCATAAGTGACATGTCCACAAATGATAGCCCAACGAAGTGGCTTATCACGTGGAAATGTATAGCAACCAAATACTCTAAACGTATGCTGATTCTAAATGTGGAGGGAACAACTGGAGGATGCGGGAAAAAATCCACGCGACCACGGGGAAGAGAGACAAACAAACTCCACATATACATGCGTCGTCAATGTCGGGATGGAACCCACGACCTCCTGAATACCAGGCGAGGGAGTTAACATCTCCTAGCCACCGCGGCGAGATCCCTTGCCATTGTCTCGGAAAAAAAGAACTCGTGGTGTCATTTACGCTGACGGATCGTGCCAGATCACCTCCAAGTGCAAGACACTGCTATAGCATAAATTCTCACCTCACCCAGAGTTGGCGTGATGATCGTTCTTCATCGGTGACAGCCACTTCATCATAGTGCTCCTGCAGGCATTTAAAAATATTACTTGGGCTGACATTAGACACCTGCTGATCGACAGTTTTGATGGTAACTCTCTTCTTTGTGTTTTTTTTCTGAAAATGGCTCTGCTTTCTCTCTCTCTCTTTCCACAATAAAGTGGCGATATGTTAACTACCTCGCCTGGTATACAGGAGGTCGTGGGTTCAATCCCAACCCTGACACCTGCTCTATATTTGGAGTTCGCGTGTGTCTCTCTCTTCGTGGTCGCGTGGATTTTTCTCCGGGTCCTCTATATTT